AGCAAATTACTCCGAATCTATAATAGGTGTTTTAAGTCTTAAGTCGTAAGAAATTGACCAATCACAGTCGAATGTGAGAAGAATAATCGACTGTGATTGGTCAATTTCTTACTCTTACTTCTTACTCCGTGTATTGTAGACGACGCTTTACAGTCTCATCCACTACTGCTGCTGCCATTGTAGACCATGCATTAAAACAAGGTTGTGGACCTAGCCTTAAACTGGTTCTACATTAGTCGCATCGCAATGTCGCAAGCGTGTCGCAAGCGTTATGATCCAATCATAGTCGAGCTAGCTTGATGTTGATTGGATCGCAACGCTTGCGACGCTACGATGCGACTAATGTAGAACCAGCTTTACGACCGTTACGACAATTCTTGTGCTCAGACCCTTAGATTAAGGCTGCGTTCGGAAACCTCACCCGAGTGCTACCTAGAGTGCGTTCCGTTTCACGCATGATGCGCGATGTATCATTTTGGGTGCGTTCGGGGAAACGCTATTTATTTGTGTCAGTCTATCTTCATCGTTTATTAAATGTAAAACAAAAATGAAGAGACACAGATAGCGCTAATTCTTGTCTCCTCGAATGTACCTTGAATGTAATCTTCTCTAATATTCGATGAACAACAAGGATAAAATGATCATGCGCATTATGTGAGAACGGAATATATTGGAGGTTTGTTCGCGTCGCAAGCTCCAACATGCTCCAACATGCTCTATCAAGCGTGTTGGAGTGAGTAAGAGCTATGGTAGGAGCATATTGGAACATGTTGGAGCATGCGACGCAAACAAACCTTCTATATCATTCATTAAATGTAAGACAAGGATAAAATGACATACTCGGGTAAAGTTTCTGAACGCAGGCTATCTCGAGATGACCAATCACAGTCGATTGTGAAAAGAATAATCGACTGTGATTGGTCAATTTCTTACTCTTAAGCCGGCGACACACGATGCTTGTTTTCTTACTGGATTGCTAGCTAGAATAAATTCTTGCCACCGTATTGGCTACGATGCAGACACTGTCAGTACCGTAGCCAATACGATGGCAAGATTCTAATCCAGCTAGGAATCCAGCAGGAAAACAAGCATCGTGTGCCGCAGACTTTACTTCTTAAACCAAACTTACTACGTGTATTGTAGACGGGTCATAATATAGAACCAGCTTAATATGTGCACAGCAGCGACGTCACGTGCCAACCGTTTCGCCGCCAGGGAATCAATAAGTCCTATAATTTCACGTGAAACTTTTCACGTTTCATTTTTCACTCAGCGAAATTTTACGTGAAGCTTTTCACACATAGCGATTATATATATATATATATATCTTGGACGTGCTGACTTCTAAGCAGATATTCATAATCCATTCTTATTTCAATATAATGTAAGCTGTGGTCAAAGTTTCACTCCTTTGAAACGTTTGATTGATCAATTAAATTAGAAGAAAGAATTTTACAAATTGACTAATCAAAAACTGCTTTAAAGCATTTGTAGCATCGAGTTGACCGTATCTATAATAATAATTTATCTCTCGAGATAATCTATCGGAGAACAATACGGTCAGACTACACTTAGCCTCTAATTTCGAAATATGTTTATTAAAATGACTAACAGTAAATTATGAAGATTCTCGAAATTTAAAAGATTCAACGAAAATTATGCAAATAAGAATACGGCCATTTTTAATTACAATTAAATTTTGTTCTTTAATTTTTTTCATAGGAAACCATTTTGGAGCGCTATACCATGAGACAAAATCAAAGATCATGGGCACATAGCGCGTTAATTTAAAATAAACCTATCTATAATGTACTATTTGTTTTCTAGCTGTTTCTTGCCTTTTACCTCTCACCTTTTTCCCTCTTTGCGATTATTTTATCGACAATGATTATCTTTCTTATCACGTATTTCTTGTCTTTTCTGAAGTTCATCAACTTTTATCTCGAACGACAGAAAACGAAGAAACAGGATGTACAAAGAGGCAAAAAGATAAGAGATGAAAAGCGATAAAAAGCAAGAGACAGGAAGCAAAGAGCACATTGTAGATCAGATTTTATGGTAAATTCGATTAAATCGCACTATGTACTTATAGATTAAAGGTTACTTTATATAAAGTATCTAATGAAGTGGCATAATATAATTATCTTCGATAATGAAGTACACATGTATATTTTATTAAATAATAACGATCAGTACTTGATATTCAATCGTTTAAAATATTTATGCACTTTTACATTTAATTTTGCTAATTTCATGTAAAGCAGCTTTTAGGCCTATATTCATAGTCAGCTCCCT